GGGGGGGAGCCATTGACACTCAATAAGCAACACTGCCATCTAGTGGGACAGCAACATACCATCAAAGATTTTCAGGACCGTGAAATATAAGTAGATTCATTCATTTTCACCATAAAATGGCACTCTTAATAAACTGGCCTTCAGAGATTCTCACATTTTATTGAGAGACCATGTTTATTTTTGATGTTCATAAACATAGAGGCATGCTCCACTTTTTTTTGGAGGGGGGCTCAAGAATGAACGGTTTTGTCTTAACTAGACCACTGGATTGATTCTCAGTCGGAAGGCTGAGACACACGCTAGGGCAACCTGCCTCTTTTGAACATCCATCATTTCTGCTTGACAATCTAAACGCATCCCCTGATTACAACAGACAGCTTTATAAAGAAGCAAAGCTCAATGGTACAAGGACTACATTACGTTTACTCATTTCCTCCTTCTATTTTTACAATCTAGGGTGCTAAGGATGTGCACTCACTTCTCTGAATTCCTGAAGGGAAAAATAAAAGCATTTAGAACACACCAATAACAATTTTGCATAAATCTCATCAACCCAACTCTTCTTACGACTACACAATAGTGGAAGATACTGATGTGAGGCTTGTGGACGTGCTGTTCTTAATGAGTAATAAAGGTATTCTTCTCACGGCTTTAATGCTCCTTTTTCCCCAGGTGTCGCCATACATGTGCTGGTTTGATGACTTCCAAGAGCATAGAAATGAGACTATTTAATGAAACACCTGGATGGGGGGGTAGAGAACTAAAACCTGTGAGAATAACATATTGTTAATAACCACCAACTCAAACCGTCATCTCTCGTTATTACAGAGATCAGACTGCATGTGGGTTAAGTGCTCTGCTCTTTGGAACATCCACAATGGTTACTGATCCTGCTAGTGAGTTCCTCTCATTTCTGGGTACACGGCTGGAGGCACTCCTGGATTCTAGAATGCATGAGTCTGGCTTGGTCTTCATCAAACTGTCTTCTTGGCAAACAGTCAGCTCAGTTATAATTTTTGGGAAGAGCCAAGTTTTAAAAAAGAGGTATACAAGTGTAGTGTAAGAATCGAATTAAAACATTTATTTTTTTAGGTGGCACGTTGTCAGTAGACATAACTTGAATGTTTCAATTCTGAGAACCTGAGATTGTCCAGAAAAGCAAAGGTCTGAGTAACACAGCGATCACAAAGTCAGAAGCCAGCGTTTCGTAAATCTCAAAGTGGTACGAGCTGGGGCGTGGGGAGTGGGAACCTGAAGGGGTAGATCTGAATGGGTGTCCAGAACTGCCTCAGCGTTCACAACATGCTGCATGAAGTATGCTGTCCGAAGACTTCCCCATGCTTTCACCAGGCCACAAGTGTTCATGGGCAGCGCGCTGACAAGGACACTCCACAGGTCACAGGCGGTGACCCCAGCATTCACCTCATCTGTTATTACTTGGGGACTCTGGACGTCAACAGCAATGGATGAGGTCAAAGCAAGTCGAACTGCTAGGGCAGCCTTTTATCAACGCAAACAAGATGCCAAAGTCATCTCAGAAAAAAAGTTTATTAGCATGATTAAAAACATTTTCTTGAATAATGACACAAAGAGAGAGATTTTCTAAACATGGCAGAGCAGTATCAGTGGCAATACCTTAGAACCAATATCTGGAAGTGCGTGGACAGTTTTACTGCCAGTCATCATGTTACTGAAAATAATCCACGTGGCAGCTTCACGTGGAGTCATGACTATTGCTTTGTGTGGGCCTAAGTCCCTCCTGCAAGTAAGTATAAAAAATAACTTCCATCATAATTGGCATGTGACCTGTATTACTGAGTAAAGAGCTGATAAAAATCCTCAAAGAGTTGGGTTTCTGTTTGTATTTCTTTTTTTTTTTTAAAAAAAAAAACATTCTTTTTACACACTACAAAGAAATAATTAGTATTTTGGCTTTTTAAATTCCTACATGATACGTGGAGCGCAGTCCCCACCGGCCCGCCCCTTCACATCATCGCGGGCACAGGCCCTCTTCCGGAGGGCGCATTCTTGGGGCAGACTCCGAAGACTTCACACTCGGTGTGTTTTTATACTGGTTTGAGAACAAAGACAGCGTCATCCAGGACATAGTAGTCATTGTACATGTCGCCTTCACACAGGTACGGCAGTCTGGTGAACGCTTCGATAACAAAGCCGGCTTTCCTGAATACTTCTGGCAGACTGTTCACTTGTTCTTCCCAATTCTGCCCCTTGATTTCCAAAATTTCTGATGGTTTCTCCCACTTGCCACCTACTAAAACAAACAAAAACATTCAGTTAAATTCTTGAGCAAAGAAACGATCTGAGGAGGAGGGTGAGGGGACAATGCACTGGGTTCTTTTCCTCTGTATTCCACAGGTCCTGTGAGGCAGGTGGGCAAAAAAGAAAAAGCACATATTGAGAAGGGCTCAACTTTGCCCAAATGTGTGAGGTGATTTTCTATCAGAGCAGAAATGAAGCCCCAGGCTCATCTGGGTATATAAATACTGCCCTTTTTTTTTTACGTTTCTTACACATTCTCAGACACTATCCTCCCTAAGATTGGCTGGGATGGCAAGCCAGTGAGTTCAAAAAACGAATCATTAATTATGGGGATAGGGAGTTCTGGTGACCCAGTGGCAAGGAATTGTGCTGCCAAGCCAAAGGAGAGTGAGGGGCAATCTTGTCCCGTGTGATTTACAGCCTCTGAAAACCCTCTGGAAGATCAGTTATGAGTTTGTTCTGACTCGAGGACAGTGAGTGAGTGAGGGAGGGAGGGAGGGAGTGAGTGAGTGAATGGAGATACTGAAGGAGACAGTAACAGCATTTGAAGAGTTTTTAGGACAAACACAAGGAAAATATCGCTGAGGTGGTCAAATCTGCAACTCACTACCTAATGAGGTTTATCAGGCTGAACACAGATAGGGACAGGTTTGCGAGGAATTTTAATTGACAAAAATGAATCCACAGGGTGCTTCTCAAGGGAAATCAGGCCACTTCCTGACTTTTCAGAACAATTTCATCACAGAACACTGTACTGGATGAGTCTAAATGTGAGTAAAGTGGCTAAGTGTGTTTCAGAGACAGAGAGTGAGACAATAACACTACAGTGGGAAGATTTTTCCTTATTTCTGTGGCCCAGCTCCTGAACCCTGTCCTGGATTTTTGCGTCTGGGGAACTCCCCATCTGGAATCTTGGTGGAAAAGGAAGTCTATGGAAGCAGCTTTGCCAGCCTCCTTGCAGCTAACGTTCTATGGCCCGTGGCATAAGCCCAGACCTGGAGTGAGGGGCTGACGACGCAGAGCAGTGGCTGTGACAAGAGCGGTACCGGGGCGAGCTGTGAAGCGGGACAGTACCAGGAGTGCTCCATGAGGTGGGGCAGTACCAGGATAAGCTGCCAGGCAGAGCTGAGTGGTACTGCCAGTGGCTGCAGGGTCCATGACAGCTGCTACCTGGTGGCAACCATGTCCTGCTCTTCAGGCCTGTGTTACAGTATGACAGGGGCACTCCTCCTCACTAGTGTGCCACACATGCTCCAGTCCTCCCACTGTGAGCCACGCAAACCCCTTTTCAGTAAATTCCCTCTTGTGTTGATCCCTGCTCCTTGCAAGATGAAGATGCCTGTAGTGGGTGTGGGCCACACATTACAGTGGGATCCTCAAACTGAGGCAGAAGTTGTTCCCGGGACACAATGTATTTCCTCATCATTTGAAGAGGTCTCACTCAATCATCTTCCTCTAGTCCTCACAGAAGACATTTCTCCGCTTCTGCTCCATTTCCAGTAGCTCCTGGCCCACACTAGGCAAGGCACTAATGACGGGTTCAACGGTTCTGGGAATTTAAAGTGCTAAAGGATCTCTGCTGGCCTAGTGGCAAGAAGCTGGGCTGCAATCCCAAAGGCATGAGGTTCAAATCCACCAGCTGCTCCATGGGAGAAGGATGGGCAATCTTCTCCCATGCAATTAACTGCCTCCGAAAACCCGAGGAGGGCCAGTTATGGGTCACTTCTGACTTGACAGTACAACAATAATTATCTGTCAGTCAATCAAGGTTGCACTTTGTAGAAACCAAAACCTCACTCAAACTATCTAACATCTATGTAAACTTGTCTAAAAATAATAATTATTTTTAAAACCCACCAAACATTAAAACAAAACAAAACAAAAAACCAACGGAACATTTAGAAATGTGCTTCAGGCTGAAATCCCAACTTTATATGGTGAAACTTGATTACAAACATACATTACACAATTTCAAAAAGTTCCAAATACTAGTTCCTTAATGAGACTTCCTCTATTTGGTTCTTCCTTCATTTATTTAAAAAAAAAAAAAAAAAGGATGCTACACACGCGCAAGTGAACCCGACCAAGCCGCCTCCACATAAGCATCCCCACATGCACGCTCACTGCGCATGCTCGTGGCGCGGAAGGCATGCAGGCGGCCGCGCTCTAACGCAGCATGGAGCCGGTCGGTGGAGTCAAGTTCACTGCTGGTCTGGAAGTCCATCTGATTCTCTTCTATGTCGGTAAGGCGCTTTTCTTTTCCTTCCATCTTTTTTCATCCAATTGCTACTTTGCACCCCAGTGCATTTCTATTTTAAGCTTCTACAGATGAATTTTCAGATTTATAGTACGATAAAGAAATTGACTAAGGGGATGCTCCCTTTACCAGTATAGAAATAAGGTTTTAAATGAACAGCTGGCCAACGTTTCAGATTAAACCTGAAAATGCCCTTTGCTGTTATGAAGAGATTATTTGCTACTAGAAAAGCATACTTCACCAAAGGGTGAGATGCTCTTAAAATCGTATTTGCTGAGTGATCAGCCATGTAAATTCCCACACCACCACACTCGCTCTGAACACCGTGGGCAGTAAACACGTGCCGAATATTTTCAAACAGTGTTGTTAAAAGGCAATTATCTACAAATTACATATAGTTGACACTGAAAAACAAAAAAAGTCCTGCCTTTCATAATTATCACCCCTTAATAAATCCAAGTAGAAATATTCCACCTATATTCCTTTTTTTTCTCTAGGAGCCAAAATATTTGCTACCTTGCAGTCCAGCGATATCAGATCTGCCCAAATACTCTGGGTCACAGACCAGAGAGAGAGATGCAGGAACTCTGAAAATCCATTTTCTTTCATCTATAAAGACATGTAACAAATGCTAATAACTGAAATGTGATAATTTGGGTAAGATTAGGAGTGTCTTCTTGCCTCCACTTTTGGCAGTAGCCTATCCATGTTCTCCTAAGTCTGCCCTGCTCTCACAGGAGCCCTTGGGGTTCACGTAGATTATGTGCTGTGCTTTGACTGAAGGTGAATGGCTGGCTCCACCAGCTGTTTTGTGGGAGAGGTGGTGGCCGTCTGCTCCTGGCAAGATGAGCAGCCTCCGAAACCAAGGGAGGCTGGCTCCAAGTCAGATGAGCTGGGTGCCAGGGAGTTCTGTGCATTTAGTACACTTAGATTATTTTAATTAGCGCTGCTTGAAAGATGACTTTTATCTTTTAGAGATAAATTCATGTGAACACACAGATTAAAAGCTTTCAGGCCTCTGCCCTGAAATAACTGAGGGAGCAGGAGACACACGGGAAATGGGACACAGACCAGGCTGAAGCCCGGTGAAGGCAGGGTGTTCACTGGATTGTCCCAGCCACTTCATGTAGATTGAAAATATATTAAAATAAGTCTGTTTTTAACCATAGAAAATTAGTTCTCTACTCATTTCTAACTTGGTTTTTTACAAGTAGTTTTTTAAAAACTTCGCCTGCACCAAGGAGATACAAAGCTTTCAACTTCTGCAGTGTTTAAGGGAAAAGACCCATGAGACCTGTTTAGAGAGTCTCTTCCTGTGGTGTAACTCATTATCCAAACTTCTCCATTTTGCTAATGTGTTGCTTAACCCACGTGGGGAGGGGGGCAAGCTGTTTCCCAGGAAACCCTCCCAGATGGTTTTTCTCACATCTAAAAAGGTACAGAAGTCAGAAGGAAGTGGAGATATGAAAACGACAGCACTGCAAATGTGTGTCTCTTATTCTCAAAGTGTTAAAAGTCAGCCTCTCTTTTAAGAACAGTCTCTGAAGTTTAACTTATCAAGGGGATTTGAGGAGACAGTTCTTGTAAACTTGTGTTGGACTTTGGCAGAGCCAGTTCCATTTCAGACGCATACACATATAAGGATCGCTATGTCATGAGCGGCAGGCGTCCCTGAATGGCTTTCAGGCTTCACACGACAAGATGGTGAATTCAGCCTCAGGAACTTAGAAGAGCCGTGTGCCAAGTCAGCTCCCATCGTGTAACCGCCTCCACACGGGCATGTGACACTGGGAACAGGAGTGGTGGCAGCACTGACAGGGAAAAAACTGTCACTTTTTTAAATTCAATTCTTACCAAAGTGGCGTCCCCAAAGAGCCAAGTCACAGCCACCAAGTCAATTCTCATTCACAGAACTGTGTGCTACGCAGCTGCACTAACTGCTCCATAGTTCTCTGGGCCATAATCTTTGACTGCTCCATAGTTCTCTGGGCCATAATCTTTGCAGAAGAGGGTTGCCATGCTTTTCTTCCTCAGCACTACTGGGGGGACTTTGGATTATTAGCTGATTATAAATCATTCTGTGACCCAAGAACCTCAAAAGTGGATACTACTACTTGCATTTTGTTCATGAGGAAAACAGAGACCCAGAGAAGTTAAGACCATAGCACCAGGAACTGACAGAACCAGGATTTGAACCCAAGTATATATTCTATCACAATCACAACAGTGTTCATTGAGTAAGATAAAAGCTACCAGGGACTGCAACGCAGTGTACAAGTGCCAGGGAGGAATAAAGCTGACTTGGCGGCCTCTGCGCAGAGGTTTCCATTTCCACAGGTGCACACCTTGCCTCTTAGGTTCCCCATAGACACCAGGTCACAAAGAGCTAATTGTGAATGGCTCTGAATGCTGACAATCTCAACTCTCAAGGGGCAAAAAAATCCCACCTCTCAAGTGCCCAATCAACAGCAGCAACATTGTATCAGGAGCTGCCATCCACATCACTCCACTGAATAAATATGCTGCCTCTGAAAGATTATGTGACCCCAGGAAAGATCAAAGGAAGCCTTGTGCTAGCAAAAGATGCACACTCCTGACTGCCAACCTGCTTCCACCACTGCTGCCTCCTGGATGGAGGCACAAGAGCACTGCAAACCAGCTGCCTGATGTCAAGAAGTGAGGAGCTGTGGCATCTAGTTAGTCCTTGTGAGAGCTCAAAGTAAACTAAGAAAAAGGAAAACATGGTCAAAGATTCCCCGTCTCCAAAATACACATATAAACCCACTTCTGATCATCCATCATGTTCCCAAAGCTATAAAGCTTTACACAGGGTGAAAGTCCGTCTTTCTCCCTCAAAGGGACTGGTGGATGCAAACCACCAACCTTTTGGTTAGCCATCTGACATGTTACACACTATGCCACCAGGGCTCCTACGACATGCAGAGTTAGGGGCCACACCAGCTAACGGCTCACATCTGCTTCCTCCTATAGGTGCTGTGGGCGCCTGCACTGTCTCCGTCACACAACCACCTTCCCTTGAAGTGGACTACACCCATAACAATGTCACCATCGAGTGCACCTTCTCCTCTGCAGGGTGCCCTACTGAGCCACCAACCTGCCTGTGGTTCCGCTACGGCACTCATCAGTCAGAGACTCTGTGCACCAATGGATGCCAAAGTGAGGCAGACAAGTTCACCCTGAGGAAGGCCTTGGACCAGAACCACGTTTCCCTCACTGTAAACAGGGTGACCGTGAACGACAGTGCAATCTACATCTGTGGAATAGCATTTCCAAGTTCAAAAGACTCAAATGCTAAGCAAACCGGAGAAGGGACCATGTTGGTGGTAAGAGGTCAGTTGATGGGAAGAGGTCAGTTGGTTAAAACTTTACAAGTCATTTTGCTCAGGCCTTTAAATTCAATACACACTTACATGCATAAACTGTGAGAGAAATTTGCTGGCTTAAAACAGTAATTCGGGGAGGGCATGGCCTGATCTAGCGACGGGCAGGAGAGGTCTAGATGGGATTCAGAACGACTCCCACTTCTCCGACCCACTTCTCCATGGCACCCCCATCTTCTGCCTCCTCCTCCGACGTAAGTGTTCATTATCCTGAGTGCTCTTTCTCACGTACAGGCTTTACTAGTAAAGGCTACGGTCAGTTTGCATACCGATCTGCAGTAATGACTAACCATCTCCTTTCTCAAGAACTGCTCTGGTACTCTATTCTCTAATGCAGTGCTGGGGAAGCAAGCAATGAGCTGGACCCAGAAAACAAATGCATTATAAAGACAAAATTGAGGCGAAGTCCATAGGGGAACCCTGCCCCCACCCCCGATGGTCTGCCTGCTGTGCAGGGAACAGAAGGGGACCCGTGTGGTCTGGCTGGCTGCTCAGACCCAAGACTACCTTCCATCAAGTGAGGACCTCAAAAGCCTCAAAGGGGGAAGCGTCTAGCTGAGTCCTCCCAGCCACGTCCTAACTAAGGCCCTTGAGCGAAGTGTGACAGGAAAAGCAAGAGAAGGGCGAAAGCCCCTCGCCTTCTGTGGACCTCTTTCCCCACACAGGTTCTGGTAATGATGATGAGCCCTGAGCCCATTAAATCATGAACGTAAAACCAAGCTCAGAAGACTCTGGAGATACAAGACGGTCGTTTATTATAACCCCTGCTTTTTTTTTTAAATAACCCTTGCATGTGTGTGTGTCCCCCCCCACCCCTAATTTTTAACTATTTATTCTGTAAGAACAGCTATTTGGTCAATTTTCAAGCTTTGCTTGAGTGCAATTATGTATTTTGGAATTCCCATTCTTCTCAATGTTATCTATAATTTATTATGATCCCCCAGCAAATGCCTTTTAATAACGTAACTGTTCTTATCATTATTAGAGGTTGGCTTTTGATATATGGATGGAATTTAACCTTAGTTCCCTCAAGTCTGTAAGCTAAACAGTGGTACACATAAGTACTCTTACTGTGCCTGGAGTCCCTGGGCCTGTTTGGCTGCAGAGGGAGAGGCTGCACACTTGCTTATGCCCAGAAGAGCCTCAGAAGAGTCTGGTGATCTACTTCTGAACGGTCATGGTCACTATAAACCCTACAAACACAGTTCTGCTGTGCCATTAACAGGAATGAGGCTGACCCAATAGCAGCCTGTTATGGTAAAGGTTACTGACATTAAAACAACATGTATTAGTCTTCTATTAAAAAAAAAAGTGAGGGCGTAAGAAATGGATGAACCTTAGTACCAGCAAGAAAGAACTGCCAGGAATAAGCGGCTCTTCTGAATCCAAGTTCTGGAGCTAAGAAAGCTCCTTGATACCAGGAAAGGTAACAACACATCTATAAATATTATGACAAATATTAATTATTCCTTGAAGGAAACAAGAGCCATCCTCAAGGCCCAGCAGAAAGCGGAATTTTAATTTAGAACCTTCTTAAATTTGTTTTTTAAAGGGAGGTAGGGGGCAAGGTTTTCTAGAACAGAGACTTCAGAGGAGATGAAAAGGCCAAAACTACAAACATAAAAGATTTTTCTTCAGGAGCAGAAACTGCCGTCACAAATAGAGATTCCCTGCCTTTTCTACAGAACTCCTAAGTTAGCACTTGAAACTTTCTTAGGTTTTACAGATATGGCTAATATGTTAGTGTCACAGAATAAAACTATTTTATATACATACCATTCATAGGCTAAGCATCTCTGGGATATTCCGCTAGCAAGTATAGATTATTCAGACAATAACTGCAAACCTAACTGTATTTTATACTTCAAGTAATCAGGTACTTAAAGACATTGAATTACTCCTGATCCAGATTATAGGGCCCTTCTATAAGGAGAAATAAAACAGAAAATGCGATTGTAACAAGGCATGTGCAGCGACACCAGGACCCTGTTTGGCTGTGTATACTGCATGCACAGTTCCAAATCTTCAGATGTCAGCATCCTGTGAACAGACATACACTCCTTTACCCTGTAAACAGCCTCCTAATGATACTTACATACCATCTGTACCCACAAAATGTTAAAATACCCTTAACCACACCATCTTAAAATATTTACCTAACAGTAGGTAATGTGTCCTGTAAAAACAGTGAGTCTTACTTAGCACACGACAAATGCTTCAATGCATGTTTTAAAATGAGGCATGTTTTTGGTACATTTCAAGAGCTGCTAGATGGACTGGTTTTAACTGTCATAAATGCCTGAATATCTTCTGAAACAAAAGACTAACTTTATGACTAGCCTAGTGGAGTCAGACGTCCCAGTTTTACCTCTAACACGTAGCTGTCATTGTACTTCACGTACATGTTTGCAAGACGAGATTTCAATAGTGACTATGGCTCTTCTCTGGTTTTGTGACTGATGAAGAAAGCAAGCTTCTCAGCAAGGAGACGCGGAATGTCCTCATAGTGCTCTCGGTGCTGCTGTCCATCTATGTCATGGGAGTAGGCGTGATCTTCACCATCCTTTCCAAGGTAAGCCAAAACCCCGTGTCCAATGGCACTGACCTTGGGGCCTCACTTAAGAAGTAATTTCTCTCTTCTCTCTCCTGCATGTTTGCCTAAGGAAGAAATTTCTCTCTTCCCCTCCCCAATCCTGGCCCTGTGACCTTGACCTTTGACCTTCACCTAAGGAAGTAATTTCTCTGCCCCCCCCTTTTCTAACATGAGCCTAAAAAGAGAGAGCTCACTAGTGAGCATCTTCCTTTGCATGTGCAGTCATCCCTCCGGCGGAAAGAGCACACATTTTCATCACAGAAATAATTCTTAAGCAGGATACAGGATTTACAATGTTTTATCTTCACAGCCAAGCTCAGTAATATAAGAATAAGGGACATTTCTTAAATAACCATATTATATGCCATTTTTTCTTTGGGGGTGGGGGAGATGAGAGAGTTGAGTATGTGTTCCTATCCAAGAACCCTAAAAATAATCTCTAGTAGCAAAAAAGGATTTGCTAAGGAGAGATGATAAACCTTAAAATATTCAAAAACAATCTAAAGTTTCTGAGAAGAATATCTTTCGAATATGCATACCCCTTGAGAAAAGATACAGGTTTTACTAGGATCACTATAAAATCCTGACGCTCTGGTGGTCCAGTGGCAAGAAGTGGTGCTACAATCCCAAAGGCTTGTGGTTCGAGGACACCAGCTTTTCCACAGGAGAAGGATGGGCAGTCTCCTCCCACACAATTAACTGCCTCTGAAAACCCACCAGACGGTCAGCTATGGGTTGGTTCTGAATATGACGGTAGACAACAACACTATAATCCTATAATTAACATCCATTCTGTTTGCTTAATTATCATTAGTGGAATAAGAATAATTTCTGAAAGTATATGACAATTATTAACTCACACACTATATCATTTAAATAGTTCCATCTTCTTATGTATCCGCCTGCCCCAATGGCTTTGTGTGCATAATATGCTGTTTTTAAGTCTTTTTTTTTCACTATTAATTAAAGCGAAAATTTAAAGACTTTGGATTTCCATTCATTCATTGTTGCACTTTTCTCTCTGCCCATTCCTACCCCCCGCCCCACTCTTTGCTTTGAGAAGTAAAAGAAAAATTCTTTCATTGTTTTACAATCCCCCTCCCCCCAAGTCTACCCCACAATGCAGCCTTCGTTCTGGACTCCTGTCATGACAATAATACCTAATCACATATCCCTTTTAAACAGTTTTCTCCCTCATCTGTTTCAATGGAGGAAACATTATTTATCCCATCCTTCTCAGTCTCCCCTAACCCCGATGCCAGTCTTGTTTTACAGCAGTGGAACTATGCAGTATTTGTCCTTTTGTGACTAAGATATTTCACTCCACATAATGTCCTCCAAGGTCACCCATTCTGAATAGTATTGCATGAGTTCCTTGTTTTTCAATGCAGTGTAGTATTCCTATGTGTGAATATACCGCAGCTTCTCTATCCATTCGTTTGTTAATGGGCACTTAGGTTGTTTCCAACTCCTTGCTATTGTGAACAAAGCTGCGAAAAGCATAGGTGTGCATATATCTGCTTGGGTGGCAGTTATGGTCTCTCTGGGGTATATTCCCAGTAGTGGAATTGCTGGGTCAAATGGTATCTCTATTTGCAACTTTTTGAGGCAGCGCCACACCACCTTCCACAGTGGTTGCACCACTTTACAATTCCACCAACAATGAATAAGGTTTCCAGTTTCTCCACAACCTCGCCAGCATTTGTTGCTTGCTGCTCTGTTAAATTTTGCTATTCTTACTGGGGTGAGATGATATCTCATAGTTGTTTTTGTTTTTAAGTCTTATCTTCTCTTTTTACTTGGCAGTCAAAATCTAACTCTTTAAGGAACAAAGGAGCAGGAGACTCACAAAAGGTACAAATTTTTATAAAATGTTTCTTTAAATTATAGCTGGCTGCAACAATTGCAAAGCAGTTATTGTTGAAGAAATTTTATATAAAGAACATCATGATAACATTCAACTATAGATGGCAAATGTTTCCTATTGTTGAAAAACTTAATGGACCCTCAAAGTGGTAAACTATGATTTAAAGTGGACAGTTCTCAGCCATAAACTGCTGAGTGTACTGGAAAAAAAAAGATAAGCATTAAGTCTTAGTATAGATGCATGTTTGGGGGTGGGCTGCGGTTAGTTTCTGAGGCTGGAAGCAGTAAAGAATAATCTCGGATAATGTGGGGTGATCTTCGTATCTAGTCCTAAGAGACTGTTTTTCTCATTTTGATTTCTAGAAGAAGAGTGCTCGGCGGATTTTCCAGGACATTGCTCAAGAACTATACCATAAGAGATACGTGGAAACATGCCAACAGTCTGTGAGTGTCAAATGCTCTGAATACAGACGAGGAGACACTGCTCTTCTGTGGCATGTTTAGTATGCAGTACTAAGCATTAAAAAGAAAAAAAAAAAGATGGCACAAATATTTATCAAATCATTTAGAAAGAACACTTGTTTCTGATTTTTAAAAAAAAGTCTACTGTCACCAAGTGTCACCAAGGCGATTCTGCCTCAGAAACCTTGCAGGGCATAGAAGAGCTGGCTGCCCAAGGAGGCCTCTGAGGCGGCAATCTTTATTTACAGGGTTGCACTGCACAGCAGCTGGCTCAATCACTGGCCTTTTGGATAGCGTCTGAATGCTTTAACCACAGGGACACCAGAACTCCTGCTTTTTGAAGAGGGGAAAATAATTCACATTAGAAAAGAGCCAGTTGATGAATATAGGAAATGAGTATTTAAGTATTTGGATGGGATGATAGACAGCTACTGTATTCGATATGAAGAAAAGTGTATAAAATTCATAGTAATATTTGCATAAATGCATAATCTAGAACACAGGGTTCCTTTAAAGGCCTTTATAAGTCAGTCTTTTCACCCACATAGAGCAGAGGCAGTACGACGGATTACTTTGCTTACATGATGAGATTGCTCAGATTTAAGTTCAAGATCATGAACTTAAGACGATACTGAATATATTTCAGTCAACAGGGCAAATGCCACAGGATACTCATGTCGAAGTAGTCACACAAAGAAAATCAGCTAACCACATCAGATACTATCCTGAATAGTTTTTAAGCGTCAGCAATTCATACTTGTACCCTACTGGGCCATCACTTAGAGCAAAGCAGCAAAGGTGAGTGACCTCCACACAAGCTCAGAAGTAGAACTATGAACTTCTAATGCGAGGCTTTGACAATGACGCTGGAATGATTAACAACAATCCCCTTCCCATCCCCCATTTTCACATTCTACCTTACAAACAGGGCAAGTGATGACCTGGACATCAAGAGTACTAGAAAGTGATTAGGACCCAGAATGCAGGACAACGTGGTTCTTTGTATGTTGGTGTGGCCTGGTGCCAGATGGCTGCATCACCTTAAATATGGTTTGTATTTTTCCTTGCAGGAGAAAGACAGCAGCAACATTTATGAAAACAGAAGAGCACAGTCCAATTACGAAAGGCCACAGAACGGTTCAGATTATTAAGAAGTCCACCTTGAGAACCATACCAGTGTTAATGGATACACACCAATCTTTTGGACAATTGGTTGTGAAAAAGGAGGACAGAGTGTAAGGAAACTGTAACAGCCATTAATAAAAAAAAAAAAAAGAAAGAAAGAAAATTAATTATGACCCAACAAAATGAAAACAGAAAAACACTCATTTACTAGGGGGGAAAAACACCCCAATCTAAGTAGTCTATCATTTCTAAAACTTTAGTTTTATACAGCCCGTATTTTATTCAAAGTATGAAGTATGTGATAACCATCACCCTAAAGATTCAAGTCGCAACGTGTGTCTCCATCTTGAATGGAGTAAGTGTCTTTATGGGCTGTGGAAGGAAGGCAGGTGAAAAGAGAAAAAAGAAAGGGAGGGAGGGAGGGAGGGAGGAAGGAAGGAAGGTAGGTAGGTAGGTGGGAGTGAGGGATGGTTTGAAGGGCGCGTTTCAGCGCCAAAATTAAATCAGAAAATGGATTCCTCTGCTCCCGCAATGAGGCAGCTGTCCAGCGAGTATTTTGCTGCCAAGGAGTGTAAAATAACTCACATGCTATCAGTAAAGAGTGAGACTCTTAACAGCAGAGAACAAAGTGACCATATTAGCAGTTAAAACACAGCCAACATTTACTGAAGAGTCAACAGAGCAAACCTCGGAACAAATAAGGCAGCACTGACTCCAGATGCCAGTGTTATGCCAAAGACACTTTGTACCATAAAAGCACCCTTGTCATACTAGTTGGTGGCAATGGAGGAGGAAGATCTCTGAGCAGGGCCTAGGCAGAGCAAGGACAAGGAGTACTAGTATTACACAGTATTACACAGAGAGAAAGACACACACTCTATCGACTGCTCTTGAAAAGCTCATGTTGTTGACTGCCATCGAGTCAAGTATGACTCATAGCAACCCTATTAACAAAAGACCTGAAGCCTTTCAGTAGCTATTACCGTTTCTCAAAGTGCATAGAGTCTGCACAGGCATGTTGTTTAGGAAGTGGATATCACTTGAAAAGCTGCCAGATAATAAAAATATCCATGTGAAATGCTCACATGCATAAATACACTATTAAATATGAATTACAACCTATAATGCCATTTCATTAAAGTGTCTCTTCTAAAATACTATTAAATGAAGTAAAATTTTAAAAGATTTTCTATGCTTTGGAAAGTCTTTTGCATTGATGATTTCATTCCAGTTTCTCCAACTTTCTGAACACACAGACCAGGAAAATGTGGAAATGGAGGGAGCATGTAACTTCACTGTGCGTGCGTGCGTGTGTGAGAGAGCGCGAGCACGCGAGCGAACATGTATCTCCGACACAAAAAAAGGAACTAAATAATGGTACAAAAAAGCATTATTAGTATAAATGCTAGTATTTTCTTATTTCTCAGTATCATTTGTTACGCGGCCTAAGCACCTAGTGATAACTGGCTATGCTGCCAACCCAAAGGCACACGGTTCGAACCCACCAGCTGCTCCATGAGAGACAGACTGGCAATCTCCTGTCGTGCATCTTAACTCTGCCTCTGAAAATCCACTGGGAGAATCAACTATGAATTGGCTCCCACTCAAAGGTACACAACAACAAGGTATACAAAATCATTGCCTCACTTTATGGACCACTGATACCAGAAAGAAATGAACTTCTAAACTAAATGGCAAAAAAAGGCCAAGCACTTTCTTAGGCAAATATTGCTGCTACTGAGTCGATTCTGTCTGACAGCCACCTTGTAGGATGGAGCACAACCACTCAGCATCTCCCAGGCTGTAAATCCTTCCAGAGGCAGAGCATCTCGCCTCCCACCTAGCCGGGGTGGGCACGCATCATTACAGCTGTGTGCCCTCCCCCACAGCACCACCAGGGCTTCTACCCAGGTGAGTAACAAACCCACCGCCATCTAGTCACGTACAACTCACTACAACCCATTCATTAGGTCCTCAGGGCTGTAAATCTGGGAAGGAGAACACTCATCTTCTTCCCACCGAGTGGCTGGTGAATTTGCATTGTGTCCTCTGGTCAGCAGCACAACGCGTAACACACTGGACCACCAGGGCTCCTGGTCTAAGTGATTAAAACTATGTCATCCATTAGTTTATTTACTTCCCATTTCTGGTACAATTAAATTTTGGTACTTATCTCCAGAGTTGAAAACATATTACTCTTTGTGTCAGTAAAAAAGAGATAAAAACCCTAAGATAAACTACAATTCCTTTCAAAAAAAGCCTGTGGAAACTAATGAACAATATTATTAAAATCACATGCAAGCAAACTACTGCTGAAAATAATTTTTTAAAAAATGGCTGGAACAGTACATAGGTAGGAAATTGCCAGTGGTTCAAGCAGGATTTAGAAGAGGCCACGCATGGCACCAAAGATATGATTGCTGAAGTCAGATGGATCCTGACGGAAAGTAAGGAATACCAGAAGAATGTCTATTTGGGCTTTATTGACTATGCAAAAGGCATTTGACTGTGTGGATCATGACAAGTTGTGACTGAAATCAAGAAGAATGGGAATCCCAAAGCACTTGATTGTGCTCATGCAGAACCTACACCTGGACCAGGAGGCTGTTGTTCAAACAGCAGGGTAACACTGCATGGTTTAAAATTGAGAAGGGAGTGCATCAGTGTTGTATTTTCTCTACAAACCTATTCGATCTGTATGCTGAGCAAATTATTTGAGAAGCTGGACTCTATGAAGAGGAAAGTGGCATCAGAATTGGAGGGATATTCATCAACAACCTACATTACACAGACGACACAACCTTGCTTGCTTAAAGTGAGGAGGACTTGAAGCACTTGTTACAGAAGATCAAGGAATGCAGCCTTAGGTATGGACTGCATCTGAATGTTAAGAAAACAAAGATTCTTACCACTGGACCGATCAGCATTATCATGATGGATGGAGAGGAGATTGAAACTGTCAACAGCTTCATCTTTCTTTGATCAGGAAACCAGAAGACATACTGTACTGGGAAAATCTGCAGTTAGGGACCTCTCCAGATTACTGAGGAGTGATCATGTCAGTTTGAGGACTAAGGTGTGTCTGATTCAGGCCATCATCTTTTTGACCACTTGTTTTGCATCTGAGAGCTGGGCAATGAACAAGAATGACAGAAAAAGAACTGACGCCTTTGAGCTGTGGTGTTGGAGAAGAGCACTGAACATCCCATGGACAGCCAAGAGAACAAATAGGTCTTGGAGACCATGCAGCCAGAGTGCTCTTTGGAGGCAAGAATGATGAGGCTTTGCCTCACATACTTTGAGCATGTTGCACAGAGGAGCTATTCCTTGGAGAGGGACATGATGGTGGGAAGGGTGGAGGTTCAACGAAGAAGAGGAAAACCCTCAATGAAGTGGACTGACATGGTGACTGCTGCAAAGGGCTCTTGTGTGTCAGGAAATGTGAGGATGGAACAGGATAGGACAAGGTTCAGATCTTTTGTTCGTATGGCCGTTATGAGTCATACATGACTTAACAGCACCTAACAACAGCAACAATACATATAATTACCATGCTCAGCACTGATTATTTTTAAGCTGAAATTTAGAATGCAATTTCTCAAAGAAATTCTGTTGTCCCAGATTGTAAGAATGCTAATATACACACACTTTTCATTCTCTCATCTATTCACCTACCCAATCATGTTCACTAAGTGCAATACTATTATAAAATTCAATGTCTCTTTTACTTCCCCTCCATGAACCACACTAAACCTGCCTACCCTAACCCCATCTTCATGCTTCTGCATCCACTGTTCCCCTCTGGTTGATAAAAATGCTTCAGACTACAAGCCCAGCTCCTCTATAAAATCCTCCCTGTTGTTGTGTACTGGAGAGTCAGAACCATCCCATAGCAGACTGCCCATCCTTCTCCCTCAGGGGAGGTGATGGCCTCGAACCGTGTGCCTTTGGAGACTGCAGCACAGTTTCTTACCACTAGGCCACCGGAGCTCCCCAACATCTTCCCTAGACCTCCTCAGACCCACACCACATGGTCCTATTTCATATCACACTGTATTTTCACTGCTTGCTTTTTTATATCTATCTTCTGCACTCTAGTGTACAGACATTAAGTCTAAAAGCAGACATTTATCTTTGTAGTTCCAGTGCTGAGCATCGCCTGTACACAGTGACCCCTCAGATTTCTTACAGGACTGTAAATGAACAATGATTCTATAAATACATCTACATAAACAAACACACATACTTTTCCCCCCAGCATTTCAACTGAGACATAAAACACGTAACTCTCTTGACAGATCTGCAATAAGGTTAGCCATTCATTCTCACACCTCTTGCCATAAAATCTGTTTGCTGAATCTTTTACAGTACTAATTTTCCTACAATCTGAGCATCCGGAGAGATTGTAACTGGAAAAGATTAATCAGAAACCTTTCTCTTAGGATTTGCATTTCCCTTAACAATGTAAAGAAAATTAATGCTGAAACTACTGTAAAGGGGAAATGGACAGAGACACAATTCTAGTATCTATACATCGCCCTCCAGGCAAAGAGCACTTCAATGACATACCAAAAGAAGTACTGGGATTTTCAAGATAAGTGATTTCTCTTTGCAGTGCCATATAAGAATTAAGAGATTCTGAAAGCCCTGCCTAAGAGGCAGATGGCTACATTTCTGTAACACGAAGCCACATAAAATGATGGAGAGGCGAGCTCTGGTGGCCTAGTGGCAAGAAGGTGTACTGCAATCCCAGAGACGCACGGTGCGAATCCACCAGATGCTCTGCTGGAGAAGGAGGGACAATCTCCTCCTGTACCAGTCAAATCTGATTTGACAGTACACACAAAAAATAATGAAATAAATTTTTTAAAAAATTAGACACATGCTATTATTAGCTAAAATGCCCTTTAAAAAGTTGAGGTAGGAGGATCAAGAAACACTGATGCTCATCTTAGAGAAATAAACAAGCCAGGAAAAATCTCAAGTGATTAAAGGGGAACTTCGGTCACAGCCTTGAAAATCCTAT